GGCGGGGAGTGCGGAGGATGCTGACGTGTCATTTTCTGGGGTCTCGTACAGCTCTCCCTCGTCCTCGAAAGAGAAAGCGCGCGCAACCCCTTCCTCATCTTCACTCATCGCTTCCCTCCCCTTTCCCTCGAGCACGATCGAAATTCAAGATTCTTTGTCACTCTACGTTTGCATTCCACACAAAGCCACCCGCATCTCCTCCTCCCTTTCCATCCTCACTCAAGCCATCCTCGTGATTCCATGCACAGCCCCCGTCGGCGCTCGTCCATTGCCGCAGCCCTCTCCTCCCCTGTCTCCCTCCCTTTCTCCCTCCCCCACTCTTTTCTCCACACTTTCTGCTCTAGCCCCCTTTTTTCAACGTCCCCCCCTTCGACAGCACGCGACTCATTCGAAGCTGAAACAAGCCGTCGTCTTCCTCCTCCTCCTCTTCCCCCTCCTCCTCCCCTCCCTCCTTCCCGCTATCCTCTTGTGCCACCCCTGCCACCCCTCCGAAGGTCACGCTCTTCGTCCGGCCCCCGGCAGCCCCCCCGCCATCGCCCCTCCTCGCTCCTTCCCCTCCCTCCCTCCCTCCCTCTCTTCCGACCTCCTCTGCCCGCACCGGGAGGATGATGGAAGAGGTACCCGCCAAGGCTACCGGCGCCCCCACCATCCCCAACGGGTGCAAACGGCTCTCCACCAGGCGATGGAGCTGCTCTTCCTCGAGCATATCCTTGACCTGGGTCGCCCCCTCCTCCTCGTCGAAGCCAAATAAGGCCCGGGAGGACTGCGACCTCCTCCCTCCCCCTCCTCCTCCTCCTCCTCCTCCTCCCTCGGACTCCTCGGGGCCCTCTTCCATCATGCGCAACGAATCGGGCAGATAGGACACTGTGGGTCCCAAGGCCGCCTTCCCTCCCTCCTTCCCTCCCTCCTTCCCTCCCTCCTTCCCCGCGCCTCGCCGACGCTGCACCTGTTGCCGGACCAGTCGGCATTTACTCTCGGGTAGGACGAAGGCCACGGTTCCGGGCGCCAGCGTGTAACGGCCAGCGGGGAGGTAGGGGACCACCACCGTGGGGGGCGCCGTCAGCGTCGTCGACGGCATCACCACCGTCGCCCCGCCTCCTCCTCCTCCTCCTCCTCCTCCTCCTCCTCCTC